TTTAAGAAAGTTCTTAAGAATAAAGCTCACTTAGGAATGGTTGTGGAGGTGGACCCTAGAAAGGGAGAGGTTGTGCCATAAGATGATAGCTGACATACATGGCAGATTGGAAAATGGATGGGATGTTGGTGTATCGTGTCAAGCTATGTTGGCAACTCCTTGGGAAGCAACTCAAAGTGTTCTCCCTCAATTCCTCAATTTTGTCAAGTATGATGTTTGCTCTGGAAACTCTATTTTGTTTTGGGAAGACATTTGGGTGGGCAGCTCTGCTCTTAAGGATCATTTTCCATCCCTCTATTCTCTTTCCCTCTACAAGGAAAAAGTTATCTCTACTTTCTTCCAACACTTGTCTCACCTTCCTCTTTGAACTGGGACTTTAGCTTTCATAGGGGCTTAAGGGATCATGGACTTATTTGTGATTTAGACCATAGTTTTTAAGGCACCAAAGTGAGGCTAGGCGACAGGAGAGCGCCTTGTCGCCTAGTCGCCTAGGCGATGGATTTTCTTTTAAGTAAAACCATATATCCTAGGGTAGTTCCCTAGGTTCCATAACCATCTTTCCTTAATAATTATTCATAATTTTCATAAGTATAAATTTCATGTTTTAAGTTAAGAAAATCAACATTTTCTGAGAAGAAAAGGAACAAAGGGAAGAAAATTCAAAAAATATAGGGGCTGAACCCCTACTTTTGTTATAGGAAAAGAAGAAAAGAAAAGGTGGAAGAAGAAGATCTGTAAGAAGAAAATGTGTTGATTAGACAAAATTTTAAGTTTTTTCCTTGCTTATTGGTTCAGGTTCTGAAATCTTCGAGGATTCAATCAAGGATCAAAACTTCGATACGATATGCCCAGTATCGGGTGTATTGTATTGTATCTTTGGCGTCCCAATACACATGTTTACAGGTGTTTTTGGGAACCCATTTTTTAAAATAATATATATATATATATTTAAAAATGAAATTGAAATCCAAAGAAATAAAAAAAAAATAGGGTGAGTATTGCTATAAGTACTGATACACCTTTGCCGATACACAGGTGTATCGATACTTTGAATGTGTTGATTAAACCCTAACAAATAAGAAAATAATAAAAAGAAAATAGTACATAAACACATAAAATGAGTATTCTAGTTTAACAATGCCTATTTTATAATTATAATGTCAAAAAATTAAAAATATAAAAGTATTTATAACATAGTATACAAAACTACTTGGTGACTGGGCGAGGAAAGCCTCCAAGGGCGCCTTGTCGCCTAGGCGTCACCTTGACAACTATGTTTCAGACCTTATGTCGCTACTTGGCAGTGTTTTCTTGGAACCTCTTAGGTCAGATGTGAGATTATGGTCCTCTCACCTAAAAGGTTACTTCACATGTGCCTCCTTTTCTAAGTCCCTTTGCTTCTGTTAGACAGTTTTGTATGCCCTTAGCTTCAATCAGAATGATGTACTTTATGAGTTTATTGTAAATGAATAAAGATACATATTTGATT